TATATATACATACACATGTTTTTATAGTATTAACACGTTGCTGATAGTGAACATCTCTGATGATTAGAATTGCAGTCCTTTTTCATTTTGTGACCTTGCTCACTACAAGTGGTGCTTTCTGTAGCATTTGCCAAAGGATGTCATGCCTGAGCTGTCACACTGATGGATGTACATTTCTCTTGACCTTTCTTGGGCTAGAAAAAAATTCCCACTACCGCACATCTTCTGTTGATTTTATTCTTACTCGTGTAATGAAATAGTAATAAGTAGAGTGTACAATAACGACTTAAAAAAAAAAACAACGATCTGTGCTGTAACAATCAGAAAGCATTATTGAACATGTATATTTTACCCAGCACTGTTTAAAGGAAGTGAGAGATGCATAAGAACTTTCTTGATTTCCAGTCACTCAAAATCTTCTTGGTGGAATAAATTAATACACATGAAATTACAAGGAATTGATCATGTAATAAATCATGTGATAATGATTACAATTGCTATATGAGTTCAGAGGCTGGAGATAATTGTGAAATGGGGATTTATGCAAAGTGTATTCTGTGGTACACTGATCCTACAAGATACTCCTTAAATTGTCATTAGAGAGAAATACAGTTAATTGTATCTTGTTAATGCATATATTACATATGTCTTTGTTGTTAAGTGCCATCGATTCAGTTCTGTTTCAGGGCAAACCCTGTACAGTGTTTCAGAGACTGTAAATCATTATAAGAGCAGAAAGCCTCATCTTTCTTTCAAGGAGCTGCTGGTAGGCTTCAGCTGCCAACCTTGTGGTTCATAGTCTACTGCTTATCCCACAGACTCACCACATTCCTTTACGTATATGTGCATACCCATATACAAGGGGGCTTCAAAAAGTCCTTGAAAAAAAATGAAGTTTAAAGGTAATGGAATTTTTACACAAACTTTTTGGAGCACCCTTGTACATTTTTGCATATATATATTTACATTAATGTTTTATTAATTATAGTGTTGTAAAAGTTACCCAGTATAAAAACCTGCAGAAATTAATTTCAAGTCACATTTCTTTTCATGTAACTGTTATTAACAACTTGCAGTGAACATTTTGCATGTTTTATGTGTTAACAAAAGAGCTCTGGTAGCGTAGTGGTTACGAATCGGACTGCGAACCTTAAGGTCAGCAGTTCGAAACTATCAGCTGTTCCGCAGGAGAAAAATGAGGCTTTCTTCTCCCATAAAGATTTACAGCCTCGGAAATCCTGTACAGGGTCGCTATGAGTCGGAACTGACTCCATGGCACATAACAACAATGTGTTAACAAACCCTAGCGTTCTATGGGAGTCCGGTGTGGCACTGTAGGATAGTGAACTGCAAGGCTGGTGATTCCAACTCAACAACAGCTCTTAGTAAACCCTATACAGGGTCGTGATGAGTCAGACCCAACTCGATAGCCCTTAACAACAGCAACAGCGTTCTATGAGTTTTGGATGATATCTCTAAGCATCTTTCTAGGAGGACGTGGGACTTGAATTGAGTCTTAGACAATGTGGAAGGGAAGGGGAATACCCTCCAAGCCAAAGACACAACATGATCAGTGGCACAGAGGTGGGAATGGGCGAGGCCAGGGGAGATTACAGCAGGGGAAGAGTAGAGCGTGCAGCTGGACAAGAAGTTGGACCAGGTCACCGAGGCCCTTGAATGCCAGGATGAGGAGTAGAGATTCTTTGTGGTCGAAAACAACCTTGTGGATTCTGAGTTGTGAAATGATGGGGTGGACAGGAAAAGTTAGTCTGAGATGACTGATGGAAGGAGAGAAGACCCAGAGTCAAGAGGAGACTGTCGTATGTTAGTATGAGCTTTGGGGAAACAGGCCAAAACATGAAGGCAATGGAAAAAGGAAAGGTGTAAATTCAAGAGATTGTCTATGAGAAAAATGATCAGTACTTGATAACAATCCACATATGAGAGTGGACAAATAAGGGAAGAGCCAAAATGACGGCGGTTATGGAATGTAGATTTCTGTTTTTCAAAACTGTGAGTGTGTGATGATGTTTTCCTGTTAAGACTTTAGTATTTTTAAAGCCTGCTGGGGGCAAGAAGGTATTGCTTTAACTAGTTACCTGGTCCTAATGCTGCTTTCTCTTACATCCCTCTTTCAGGAAGCACTGAGTGTTGCCAAAATGCAGGTGGAGATGGGGGCCCAGGTGCTGGATATCAACATGGACGATGGCATGCTAGATGGCCCAAGTGCCATGACCAGATTTTGCAACTTCATTGCCTCCGAGCCAGACATTGCCAAGGTTGCATAAATGTTCATGTTCATCAAGGGAATTTACATGTCTTGTTCTGTCTCTCATTGAACTTTGTCAGTTGCCCCCATACCCCTATGCAGCATCTTGGCAACGTGCTGTCCCTGCTGAAAGGAGGAGTGACTGCACTTGAGACACAGCAGCTGGCTTTGGTGCCCAGGAAATAACGTTCTCATGGTCGTCTGTGCCCTGTTGTGAGCTTACCATGCTTTACCACATTGCCTATTTAATCAATTATTTTTAACAAGTGCCCGGGGCCTAAGACATGCTAGGCACTGGATTATTGATTGACTCAGTTGGTTGTCTCATTTCTCTGCAGCAGTCTTACCCAATTAGCCGGGACATTCACCTTCCTTGGGATGGGGGCTAGAATGAAGAGTCTCTAACAGGAATCTGTTCTTAACCTGCATGCTTCAATTGTATCCTTTCTTCTACTCACAGGCATTTGCTGAATATTGATCTGCTTTTCCTTTCTAATATTAAAGCTCATGTGTATATTTTTTTAAGTCAGGTATTTGATTTTCTAAAGGGAGGATTGAATTTGAATAACTTAGCTGGAGTTCTGTACCCAAAAGTCATGGGCTAAACATTAATCCCAGAGTCAGATCAGGAAAATTTCAGATGCTTGCCTCAGGGTTTAAGGCAACTGAAAAGGGTAAACTAGTACTGAAGCCAGTGAACTGGCCTGGTGGATACAGTTCTGATGCTCAGCTTTGATCTCTGACCTGTAAATTCCCATCCAATGCATGTAGACTCTTGTAAGGCGGAAATTGTTCCAAGTATTTTGGACTCTGGCCACTTTTTGGCTTTAAGAACAAATCCATTGCCATCGAGTGGCTTTTGACTCCTAGTGGCCCTTTACAATAGGGCAGAACTGTCCCCCTGTCCACATAGACCTTCCAAGTCTGTAATCTTTACAGAAGCAGACTGCCATATCTTTCTCCCGCATAGAAGCTGATGGGTTTGAACTGATGAACTTTTGTTTAGCAGGTTGTAAGAACAAGTGTATTTAAACCCTATTTATCACACTACTAGTTATTTGTTTCTTGACTCCTAATGAAGAAATGGGCTCCTGGTGTGGCACTGTAGGATCAGCAGTGGACTGTGAACCACAAGGTCGGCAGTTCAAACTCACCAGCTGCTCATTGGAAACCCTATACAGGGTTGCTATGAGTCAGAACTGACTCAGCAGCACTTAACAACAATAACAAAGAGGAAATAGAGAATGTTTAGGAGCCCATGGAAGGGAGTTAGTAGTGACCGTGGCCTTTCAGTGATTTTTCTGGTTCTTCTGATCTCAGGTGCCATTGTGCATTGATTCTTCCAATTTTTCTGTGATTGAAGCCGGGTTGAAGTGCTGCCAAGGGAAGTGCATCGTCAACAGCATTAGTCTGAAGGAGGGAGAGGTTGACTTCTTAGAAAAGGCCAGAAAGATTAAGAAGTTTGGAGCTGCTGTGGTGGTCATGGCTTTTGATGAGGAAGGCCAGGTGAGTGACTTTGTGTACTTTTTATTTATTTGCATAACTCGGTTGTGCTGGCAAATCCTGGAGTCCTGGTTGAGTTATATAAAAAAAGTTTTTATATCAGTGGAGAAAGCTAAGATTATTCAATATATATTATTGGCATAATTGGGAAGAAATTAAAAGTTAGAACCCTCTCAGCATATACTAATAAAATCTAAATCCATGAAAGATCTACAAGAAAAAAATCTCTTGGTTTTTTTTTTTTTTTTTTTTAGAAAAAAATGAAAGTATGTCAGAAAATATTCATTTAGCTTTGAGATGTAGACGGTCTTACCTGGAAGCCAGAAAGAAAATGGATAGAGCTGTTGACGTAAAAATATGAACTTGTGTGCTAAAAGTCAGGGCTCTGTTTGCAGCAAGACCACTGGGTTAATATCCCTAATACCCCAATACTTTCTATGACTAACAAAGAAAAAGACCCCAACCAACCCTACTGAAGAATGGGCCATGGAAATGAATCAGCAGCGCTTTTCACCCACCAGTTGCTCCTTGGAAACCCTGTACAGGGTCCCTATGAGTAGACACTGACCCGAATGCACTTAACAACAAATATTCAGCATCTGTATGTTTTGCTCAGTCTCTTATCCAGTTTTGATTATTTCTTATGTTTTAGTAACATAAACAATTGTTGTTGTTAAGTTTCGTGGAGTTGGTTCCAACCTACAGCGAACCTGTATAGGGTTTCCAAGGAGCGATTGGTGAGCTTGAACTGCCGACCTCGTGGTTCAAACTGATTCTGCAGTCCAGCGCATTAACCCGCAGTGCCACGCCAGGACTCCAGTCTGAATATTCTTCTTCTGTGTTCTGCACAGTCAGTTCTTAGAAATGGATGGCTAGGTCAAAGGGAATGCACCATAATTTTTTTTTTTTTTTTTTTTTTAATGTACATTGTTAAATTTTCCTTTTGAAAGTTGTATCTTAGCTCACTTCTACTAGTAGTTTAAAATGGTGGGGCCTTTTGATTTAGTTTTTATTTTGATCAAAAATACATAAATGGGCTTTAAGAAATTCATGGAAAATGCCATTATTTTAAATTTAATTTTTCCATGAACTTTTTGAAGCCCCTCATATAGAAAGATCATCACCAACAGGTGCTGTCCAGTGATTGCAGCTGGTGACCCCGTGTGTTTCAGGGTTCAACTTCTCATAGGACTTCCAATGTCTGTGATCTTTCAGAAGGCCTCTGTATGGGTGATGTCTTTTATAAGTGTCAGCACAAGGCTGGGCCCTAGAGTGAGAAGTTAAAGATACCCCAATGATTCGACTTTTCCGACACGCTATAGCCTTCCATAGTCCTGGCCAACAATCACCACAATCCTCTGCCCTAAGTCCCAGGGTTCTGCAACATGCTGCAACGTTCCACAAAACTCACAGTTGTCAAAAGAGATGGCTTACAAAATTGCGGAGGCTGGCAAGTTGCAAATCTGTAGCTTAGAGAATATCTGTCTGGAGGAAATCTGCTCACCTACACAGTCTCAGGAGCTGAGGAACTTGGATGGGCAGATCAGACGACAGGCTGTTGATGCACAAGGCTTCAGGAGCTGGAGAATCATCAGGTCTGGTGATGACCTGCAAATGCCATGAACTGGAGGTCAGACGTCATGAGCCAAATGCAAGATGCAGGGCAAGAGAGCAGGCTATTCCAAAGCTATCCTAGAAATTAGTCACATCATGCCTCCAAGGGACACTAAGGGTGGTGACTTGAGTCACACCCTCTACTAAGGTGGGGGCATTCTTAATACTTAGATCAACTGTAACCTTTACTTCTTAACCCCACCCTAATCTTTACTCTTCAACAACTCATTTCAAAATGGGTCCATATACAGGCATGTAGAGACTAGGATTCTCACTAATTGGAGAAATTTGACTAGAAGGACTACAAATAATTAGCTATCCTGCAGCCTCAGAGAGGATTCAGACCACCAACCTTTCTGTTAGTAGCCCAGTGCTACCCAGGCTCTCCTGTATATGCAGATGGCAGCGGCGGTGGCGGTAGTGTTCCAATTCCTAGTGGCCCTGTGTAGGGTTTCTGAAGCTGTAAATCTTCACAGGAGCAGAAAGCCGCATCCTTCTCCCTTGGAGTAGCTGGTAGATTCCAAGTGCAACTCACTCACTACCAGGGCACCTGATGTATGCAGATTGCTGTTGTTGTTAAGTGCCATTGAGTTGGTTCAGACTCACAGTGATCCTGTATGAGGTTTCCAAGGAGCGGCTGGTGAATTTGAATGGCCACCCTTGTGTTCCTGTGCATTATCCTGCAGTGCCACAGAGATAAATAAATACGTCTTACAAAATATGGAAATCCCCAGCCCCTTGCCTTTCCCAAATCCCTATTGTTTCCAGCAGATTCTTGTAGCATTTACCTCCTCATCTTCAAATTTCATTTCAGTTCTAGTTAATATTTACTGTCTTACTTTCATAGTTAAGGACTGAGCTTTTTTTTTTTTTAAAGCATTTCCCACACATCTTTAGTTTATTCCCCTCATCCCACTCTAGTTAATTTTAGTTACAAGTTTTTTCAGTGTTTATATTACTAATTTATGTAAAATTGGAGCCATGATTGCTTTCCTGAACCTTCCATGGTTTTCATGGAATTAATCATTTTCTTGTCCTTTGTTTCCTAGATTCCATCCCAGACTATCCCTTAATTGTTTAAATCTGCAAACACATTAAGTAGACTGCATTTTAATTTCTTGAAAACATCTCTCTTGCAGTCTTCTCAGCTGTTCTGAGCTGGAAGGGTGGCTCACATGGCTGATTACACAGCTGTCACCTTGAGTTTTCCTTCTACCTTCATACCTCTTCTAGGTGTTTAGGTGATTAGAGTCAGGCTGCTAACCTCAAGGACATCAGTTCAAAACTTCCAGCTTTTCTGCAGGAGAAAGATGAGGCTTTCAGTTCAAAACTTCCAGCTTTTCTTCAGGAGAAAGATAGATGAAGCTTTCAGTTCAAAACTTCCAGCTTTTCTGCAGGAAAAAGATGAGGCTTTCTGCTCCTTTAAAGATTTACAGCCTCGGAAACCCTGTGCAGGGTCGCTGTGAGTCGGAACCAACTCCACGGCACATAGCCACCACCACCTCCTTGGTTTAATTCTTCATTTGGTAATGTGCATATTATGGTTGACTCTAGTGAAAGAAAACAGGGCAGGGAAATATTTTTGCAGCCTTGTATTATAAGAATGGCTTCATTTTACTTTTGATTGCCTATAATTATCTGAGAGTAGGATTACTACACTTATTAGAAATTACTTTCTCTGTGTTTTGAAAACTTTGCTCCATCGTTTTCTTACAGACTGTTGTTGTTAAGAAGGTTGGCATTATCGTAAAACTTAATTCTTCTCATGAAGCTGATTTTGTTTTTCCATTCTCTGGAAGTTTCCTGGGCCTCTAATGCCCACATCACTCTGAAATCTGATGATGATATTTTCATCTGTTGTGCTGGCTGTTCAAAAGCCCTCTTAATCTGCAAACTCATGACCTTTAGTTGTAGGAATTTGCCTTGAATGGCTTCATTTTCTCTTTTGGCACTCATATTATTCAGATATTGTACATTTTGGACAGGTTGACTCATTTTTTGTTTTTTCTCCATTTTTTAGTCTGGCATTTCATTCTGCTCTGTGGGAGTTTTCTACATCTATGTTTATCCTTCAGACTCTCTTTTGTGGCTTTCTCTGTATATGTGTGGGGTTTTTTTGTTTTGTTTTTTTCTACATCTACATTTATTCTCTAAACTGTCCGCTGTGGTTTTCTGTTTTATTTTGTTTTCCTTTTACCCAGGAGCTCTTTCCTTTGAAAAGAAAGCAATTTGTTGCTGTTTAATAATGCATGCAAATGTCTGCTCTGATTTATTAAAAAACATAGTGAGTTCTTGTTACTTATGTTCCTGGCCCTGCCCAAGCTCTGAGATGATTGCATGGAATCAGACAAAGTTCCTGTCCTTGTGTGATATATATTCTTAGAAAAGCAAGGTGGGGTGATACATAAATAAAGAAATATTTTGTTGGATGGTGGTAAGTGCAGTGGAGGGAAATGAAGAAGGAAGGATAAAGGATTGGAGAGAACTAAGGTAGGATGGATACGGGAGGCCTCAGGGGTCAGGTGACATTTTAGTAGATACATTAAGGAGTTTAGCCCTAAGCTAAGAGTGTTCTGGGCCAAAGGAACCTTTAAGTAGAACACATGCTAATCGTATTTGAAAAACAACAGAGTCATTGTGTAGACAAAGCCTAGGGGAGAGGAGGAGATTGGGAGGGCTTGAGGTTAGAAAAGTAGCAGACCCTTCTTAGACTTTGGTTTTTACTCTGAGAGTTAGGAAGCCATTGAAGAGTTTTGATCCTAAGAGCAGATAAGACCTGATTTAGCCTTTATACCCCTCTGGTTCTTTGTGGAGAGCGTCTGCAGGAGTTTGTTTTTGGGTGCTGTGGAGTCAGTTCTGTGAGTGCAACAGAAGAAACCGTGCCCGTCCTCACAGTTGTTGCATAGGGCTAACCTGAACATCATTTAGAAGGGAGGATCCGGGACCAAGGTGGAAGCACAGAGGACGTGGAAAGTCACCTGTTTTAAATGCATTTTAAAGGTAGAACCACACTGGGAGTAGGTCGTAGGAGAAAGAAGAATCAAGGCTACTTTTAGAGGTTTCTATTTTGGGCACAGGCTGTTGGTAGGATGGGTTATGGATGAAGGATGGGAAGACCGAGAGAAGCAGGTTTGGGATAGGGAAGGAGCGCACTGAGATCAGAAGTTTTGAGTTTAGACATCCTACATTTATGGAGTTTATTGGACATCCAAAATGCTGAGTGTGCATTTGCCTAGAAGGGTCTGGAGTTTAGGTGCAGGGTCCAGCGTGAAGATAGAATTTGGGGATTATTCACGCATAGATGATGTTTTAGACGATATTGGGCGTGCTTAGGGTGATGTGGCCGTAGACTAGATGCCATTTTAAAGCTTACCCAAGATCTGTGGATA